CCAAAATCTCTGTAAATGTTCATTAAAATTAATAACATTAAATTAAAAAAAAGAAATGGAGAAGAAAAAGTGAGATAAAGGTTGCACAGGAAACAAAGAATTAGGATACCGTTTATCCAACCTAAATCCTCACTTAAAATGTGAATTCAACTCAATTCACTGCCATGAGTCAGAACTGAGTCATAGTTGACAATCCAGCAGGTTCTCAGAAAAGCAACAATGGAGAGATCTACTGTCAGAGACCTCTCCAAAATGCTAAAGAGCAATGAGGTCAGTTTGCATGTCTTCAGGATTGCAGAGCAGCTTCTTGCCACTAGGCCACCAGAGCTCCCTAGTTTAAAGATTAAAATGTACTCCATCTACACCATGGTCTTTTCTGATTACTTCCTGTGCATCTGAGAGTTGCACAATGAATATGGATGACAGAAGAATAAATGCCTCTGAGTTGTGTGATTGGAGAAGGATACTGAATATTGATTGCATATATTGCCAAAAGACAAATCTGTCTTGGTCAAAATGCAGCGAGGCTGCTCCTTAAAGGCAAGAATGGTGCAACTTCATCTCACATACTTGAGACATGTTGTTAGGAGGGGCCAATTCTCTGAAAAAAAGATTATCATGCTGGGAAAGGTGAATGGTCAGATAAAAAGAGGAATATCCTCAACAAGATGAACTGACAGTTACTTTACAACAGACTGTGTGCAGAGATGGTAGAATAGAACAAAAAGATAGCAAGGTTTAGATCTGTAGTTCCTAGGGTCACTAGGAGTTGTTGTAGACCTAATGGCACCCTCACAACAGCAACAGTAGAAAGGAGACTGTCCCTCTTTCTCTCAAAGCCTCTCTAGAGAGGTGCAGCCTTTGAACTAGCAGCACAGCTCCTCACAAGAGCTCCTAAAACATGAGGAAGGTAAAAAATAGAAAAGTTAGAGTACTTGTCTAGCTTACTAAGAGTAGGTTGGCTCTAAATACCAATCACCTGTGACTACAGGAAGCCAGATTCATGAGGTCAATTTCTCTTTATTTCAAAATAAATTTATGTACTTCCCCCAGCAAAGCATGGGAGGTGGAAGTCAATTCCACTCATGATAAGTCTATTTACAGGTAAACTGATGATCTTAGGCAATGCAAACAGGATCAAGAATTATTCACAAAGGACTAGGAACCCAAGTCGGAGCAGTGTTGCTATGAGCTCTGCTGGTACACCCACATGGTACTATGCTGCTAACCCAAAGGTGTCGCTTCTCTGCTGGTTCAAATCCACCTGAGACTCCACAGAGGAAAGATGGGCAATCTCCTCCTGTGCAATTTATAGCCTAAAAAAAACCACTAGAGGGCCAGCTATGAGTTGGTTCTCCCTCAATGAGTTTTGTGTGGCATTGAGCTGTTTGATGCAGAGTAGGACAGAGTAGAACAGCCCACAATGAGTTTCCTGTGCTGTAATTCCCCCCCCCCAGAAACAGCTACTAAGATCTTGCCCCCTCTGCAGAGCTATGGTGGATTCAAATACAAACTTCTCATAGCTGGCAGTCATACATTTAATCATTATACTGCTAGAGCTCGGGCTCAAAATCAAGTGTAGAGAATCACAGGTAGTTAAAATCAGGAGTTGAATAAAGAGGTAGCTAACCCAAAGTGAACTGTGGCAATGGAAGAGATGGGGGGCTTGTGGGGTGCGGGGTGTGGTGTGGGTGTGTTTGAGAGTAAAAAGTGTAAAAACTTAGAATAAATGGTTTCCCACTGACAATTCTAGTCCTAATTACTCATGATAGGAAACTGGAGATTAAAAATCACAGTAGTGTAATCTGAGGTTGGAGAAATAAAGTTTTCTGGGGAAAACTCATTGTCATCAAATGAGAACTGACTCACAGCTGACCCTCCAACAGGTTTTCAAAGGGAGGATACTGCCCATTTTTCTCCCAAAGTGGACACAAACTGCCAGAGAGAGACCGCTTTTGGATGAGCAGTGCAACACCCTATAGATCATACCACCAGAGCTCCCAAATTCACAGTCATCAACTCATCACTGACCTCCAGTGGTTTCCCAAGGTTGTAAATTGCGCATGAGGTGACTGCCTAATGCCTGTTAATCCAAAAATCAGTAAGAATTTTCTAAAGGCCCTAAATCTTCACTTGGACTTGATTCTCGGAATATGGACTTTGAGGCTCCTAAAATGCTGAGTGAATTCATTTGTTAAAGCCATCCAGGTATGGTATATCTGTTCCAGCAACACTAGATAAACTGAGACAGTAAGGTGGTCTGTTTATATACACAAGCTCCTTATCAATTTCAAGGCATTAACTTCTCCAAACCAGGCCATAAACTAGCCAATCTCAGCAAGGTCACTGAATCATATAGGATGGGTTTATGTACCAGATGGACACAGTAACCAAACCCTGGAAGGTGCATAAAATATACCAAATTACAGGACATGCAATGACATAACCAATTATTTTGGCAGAATTACAAACTCAAGTCCAGAAAGGTCATATATATATTAGAAACTTACTGCACTTTAGGGAACAAATATATTTCCTTTGCCCTTTTAGAAAGTGCTAAATCCCTGCATATTTTAAATATCACTAGATTCATTAACATCACAGATTTCACAAAGTTTAAAGATTCTCCTAGGTTTTCTACATTTACTAAAACATTAGTAGGAAATTATAATTTGTTTGTTTGTTTGTTTGTTTTATTACTTTATAATGGAATCTAGGTTGAGAAGACATCTGGAGCAGCTAAATCCTACAGAGGTTTGTTCTCTGGTTCGGGTGAGGATTAGGATGGAATGCTTACTCGCCATTGGGTGTGAGTTGATTTTATTTCACCTCATATTTAAAAAGGCTTTTGGGCCCTTGGGCCTGCAGGCCTCAGGCTTGGTTTTAATTGTTTTTGGTCATTCTTCCAAGTGGTATAGCACAGAGGTAACTCACTGATCTGCCCATTTGCTGTACAGAGGAGAGGTAACTCGTGGTTGCTGTGATACTAAACAATGTGACACTAATAGGTCAAATGCGAGAATGGTTACCCATAGTGGACAGTGTTTGGTGGAGCTCCCCAATTAAAATCAAGCTTGGAAGCAGGAGTGGCATCCACTTCTGAAATACCTTGCCTCCAGAAACTCTACGAATGTGTAGTAACAATGAAAATTATACCAATGTTCAAGTCTTTTGTTCATAGAGTCGCTATGAGTCGTCTACGACTCAACAGCACTTAACAACTTTATAATATTAAATCACATTTGCATTCCCAGAAAAAAATTACTTACTTGAAGGAAACTATAACATATAATATGTAAAATATAGTATTGTGCTTGAAAGTTCAGTTCTGTAGTCCAACTATCTAGGTTCACATCTGGACTCATTTCCTCTTCAAATAAAGTCACTTAAACATCATAAAATTTCCCCTTCTGTAAAAAAAACCTAATGATATACCTCTCTATACCAATTATCAAAATCAAATGTGAAACATTTTTATTATTTCTATATTATCAAAAAGCACTATCATAATACCAACCAAGAATCTGCTTTTAGACTGTGGCCATCATGTTCTTATGATTCTGGCCTATGGTTCTGTGTAGGCTATAGTGAATGTTATCGTATTTGGCCTATGTAGGCTTTACAAAACAAATTCTACTATTCTTACTCATGAAAATCAATTAGATGGCATTAGATACATTTATATACCTTAATATCTTCTACTCACTCAAAATACATTATCTTGTGATGCTTATGGCATATGCAGAAGTAAAATGTGTGACAGCAACTGCATAAAGGCAGAAAGGAAAAACAGAAGTATCTGTTATACAGTTCTTATAAGTGATATATTAATAATTGAAGGTAGACGGTGATTAGTTAGATATGTATACAATTGGCCCTATACAACTACTTTCAAGAAAAAATTGAAAAAGAAAAAAGAAAAAATTGTAGTCTGTCAGTAAAATAAATAAAAAACAACCAAAAAAAGGAATCAATGAAAAAACATTAGTCCAACGGAAAAGAGACCAAAGAACAAATGAGACAAACTATTAACATGATAGCTTTTTTAAAGCCATCTATCTATATAATCATATTAAATGGAAATAGTCTAAACATTCCAGTTAAAAGGTAAACAGTATCAGAGTGGATTCTGCCCCCCCTCCAGATTGTATTTCTTTAAAAAGACCAAATGACATGGTGTCTAAATAAAACCCACCTGAAATATAGACAAAGAGGAAAGACACACTACTCAAAAGAAAGCTGAAGTGGCTAAAATTATAGCAGACAGAATAGGACAATTTGAGAAGTGTTTCCTTCTTTATAGTATTCTGAAAGATTTAGGGTACAATGAATCTTTCTTTCTTAAATGTCTGGTTGAATTCACTAGTACAACCATCTCAGCCTAGTGTTTTCTTAACAGTAATTACAAACTCCTTCAGTGGAAATTTTACTACAAAAGTCTTTAATAGATAATACACCTAATAAGATATATATCTACCTACTCTTAAGTGAGCTTTGATATATTGAGTCTGCAACTTTATTTAAAATATTTGTCTATTTTTCATAGTCTGTAAAATCTGTAGTGACAGATTTTTTTTCATACTGAATTTCTGATTTCACTAATTTTTTTTCCCTACTGTTTTTCATTTCACTTATTTCTGCTCTATGATTGCTCTCTTCTGTTTACTCAGGGTTCAATTTGGTCTTTTCTAATTTTTAAGTTAAAAGTGTAAGTCAGTGATCTGAAATCTGTCCTCCCTTCTATAAAGTCATTTAAGGATCATAACCTTCTGGTCTAAAGACTATGCTTTTGACAAACAGGATATGCTTTCATTTTTATTCAACTGAAAATGTTTTCTAATTTACCTTTTCGTGTCTTCAATTTGCCCATGGATTATTTCAGAAGTGTGCTACATGTTTCCAGGTACCTAGTGGATTTTTCAGGTATCTGTACTAATTTCTAATTAGTTCTATTACACTGAGAGAAGGGAGCTCTGGTCGTCACATGAGTAAGGAGTTGGCAACCCAAAGTTGGATGGCTCAAGTCCACCAGCAATTACAGGAGAAAGGGTATTCTTCTGTGTGATTTATAGGCTTCACAAACACAGTGGAGGGTCAGCTATAAGTTGGTTCGCGTTCGGTGACATAGTATCAACCCACTCAGAGAGCATACTTGGCATCATTTTAATCCTTTTACAGTCCAGAATTTGATCTATCTTGGTAAATGTTCCATATGCATTCAAAAAGCATGATTATTCTCATTAGATAAGTGTAGTCATAAATTTCAACCAGCTTAAATTACTGTTTATTCAAGTCTTCTATATCTTTACTGACTCTTTTCTATACCTGTGCTGTTACAGCAATGATATCTTCAGTGATACACATGTGAATGTGTCTATAACCTCTTTGCATTTCAGTAAATTTTGTTTCCGATATTTTGAAGTTATTAGGGGAATAAATAGAAAAACTAATATCCTCCGATTAACTGCACCCTTTGATACAAATTTTATAACAGACCTTTAACGGTCTAACACACTGAAGCGGACACTTAGCTTTGAAGTCTGTCAGTAGTAGTACTGAGGACACTATTTAGTTAACGTGATTTCTTTTCCTCATCAGCTGAGCCATGCCATTACAAAACACTTACTGTGTCATCAAGGCCATCTATGTGCAGAACCACTGTTTTGGCACGTTTGTTTGTAGTTCCCAGAAAAAACTGAGCTTTCCTTCGACGTGAATTCATTTCACTGTAACTATCACCATCTGCCATATTTGAGGACTGAAGAATGTCATAGATTTCAGAGGCTAGCAGTTTGGTTTCTCCTGGAGTTGTAGTCCTTGAAAAAGAAACAAGAATAATTGATCAATATAATCATTTCTACTGATACTTTAATTTTATTCTTCACTATAAGTAGGCTTATTTTCCTGGTAAAGATTATTCTTAATTTATAATTTTATACATCTTTCACAAAGTATATATCTATCAAAAAACCAAAACTCAAACAAAAGTTTTTATTCTTACTTTTCTTATGTAGTCTTCTCCTATAAGAATGGTGCTGAATAGTATTTTCTATAGAAATGTTTTTTATCTAAACTGTCCTATATGCTAGCCGAATACTCACATATGCCTACTGATCACTTAAAATGTAGCGAGTACAAATAATGAAACACAATTTATTTCATAGCAATTACTTTAAATAGCTATCTGTGATAAGCAGTTACCATAGTGGTTAACATTGGTCTTATTAGTGAGAAAATAACCCTCATTTCACTTATAAATATGCTAACTAGGTCCAAGATCTATCGTGCACTACAGACCTTTAAACTCTGCCCCTATTCAGCTTTACCAACATAAGTGTCTTCTGTTCTTTTATAATTCTTCAGGTTAACCTATGATATGGTCATCTCACAAATAGTCCAGGTTTTCCTATATTATTTGTTATTCTTTTGCCTAGAAATGTCTTTCACACTTCAACATTTATTCATGCCTTTCCTTGACCCAGCAAAACTGGTTTTAAACAATAGGCTTTCAAAATCTTTTTTGAGTTGGAACTGATCCACAGCTGACCCTCCAGGGGGTTTTCAGAGGTAATAAATCACACAAGAGAAGACTGCCCATCTTCCTTCCAAAGAGCAGCTGGTGGATTCAAATAACATGCCTTTGGGATTGCAGTACAACTTCTTACCCCTAGGCTACCAGAGCTCCCTTTCAAAATTGTATTCCACCCTTAAAGGCTCAACTCAACCACCACTAATTCCAGATGTATACAAACCAAAGAGCAGAAATGTATTCTCCCTGTACATTCACAGAGCCTAACAAAATGGTCTGCAAGTTATACTTTAAACTCTGATATTCCTACACATTTTCTAACTATACAGTTTCAGTTTCAACAGTGCTAATCAGATAAGTTTTCCAGACATTCAATTCTAGGTGCTTTTCAGGGTGACTACTGCCCACAGAGAAAAATCACCTTCAATAATTCTGACTGCATGACAGGAAGCTATCAAAAAAAGACTTTACATTTTCCAGCACTTTTATGGAAATAGATACTTTAGGGAGTTCTGGTGGCTCAGTGGTAAGGAACTGTACTACCCACAAGGCACTTGGTTTGAATCCACCAGCTGCACCACAGGAGAAACATGGTTAATTTCCTATGCAGTTTACTGCCTCTGAAGACTTGCTGTAGGGTCATCTAAGAGTCAATTCCAACTCAAAAGTATATAGCAACAATTTTATGGTTTATACAGCACTGAAATTTAAGAGCTGTTTTAAATATTCAGTCAACCATAAGATTTCAAAAGTCCAAGAACACACCAGGTGCACTTGTAAATTTGTAGGGGATGGTGGATAGGTGGGTGGTGCATGGATGAGTGGGAAAAAGAACAGGGGGGATACGGACCAATATGCCTTAACCGTCTTCTTCTCAAATCAATACTGGTTTAAGGTATTTACAACAAAAAAAAGCATCATCACATGACAAAATAAAAGATATAACTAATTAGCTTTTTATATAATATTTTTTAAATAGTTCTATTTTAAAGTTCTTCTAATGTACTTTCCAATGAACCATACGGACCAAAAAAACAAACACAAACATTCAAATGCTGCTACAAACTACAGCAGAAAAGGACTTTAGGACTTCTCAACCCTGTAAGAGTCTGGCACCAAAAATAATAGTAATAGTTTTCCAAGTCAATCTGAGAGAATTAAAGTCCCTTCTAAAGTCACCTATCTTTGTAAACCTTCACTTAAATAAAAATGGATTTTTAAAAGAAAGCTTTTCAGGCAGTTATGGAAAGACGTTTTAAATAGCAATGTCTGTGCACTGGAAAAATCTGGAAAGCTGTAGTGAGGATGCATGCAAAAAACAAATGTGATCTATGTCACTGCACTCTGTACATGAAAAAACGACAATGCCAAGAAAACAAACAGATTCATCGTAGAGAGGATTAAACCAGGCTGCTCCTTGGAGGCAAGGATTCTGGGGCTTCGTCTGACATACTTTGGACATGTTGCAAGGAGAGACAGGTCTTTAGAGAGGGACATCATGCTGGGTAGAGTAGAGGGACAGCGCAGGAGGGGAAGACCCTCTATGAGGTGGATTGATTCAGTGACTGGGGCACTCGGGATGGGTGTGTCAGAGGCAATGAGATTGGCACAGGATAGAGCACGGTTTAGGGCTGTTGTACATAGGGTCGCTATGAGTCGCAAACGACTCGACGGCACATAACAACAACAACAACATTTTTATATATGCTTGGAGAGGTAGAGAGTCAGCAAAAGAGAAGATGACCCTTAACCAGGTGGACTGAGACAGTGACTGCAGCAGTGGACTCAAGTGTGTCAGAGATGTGAGGTTGGCACGAGATTCAGCTCTGTTGTCCACAGGGTATGAGTTTGAGTCATATTCGACTCAACGGCGCCTAAAATCAACTATATACTGTATTCCTCCTCCTTTTCATTGCTGTCGTGTTGGAATTGACTCACAGCTGACCCTCCAACAAGTTTCAGAGGCAGTAAATTGCATCGGAGGAAATTAGCCATCTTTATCCAAAAGAGCAACTGGTAGATTCAAACTGCTTGCCTTTGGGTTGGCAGCACAATGCCTTTCTATTAAGTCACTAGAGCTATGTGAATAAGTTTACCACATTACCTTATATTTTTCTATACTTGTATGTTTATAATCAAGGGGGGGACCAAACCCCAAAGCGAAAAATAGCACTAAGGCCTTTATAAAATGATGAAAATGTAGTCACTAACCAGCACATATATGACTGCAATGCACTCAAAATGTGACCCTTTTTGATGGGGGAATAAAATTTAAACTAATTTTCATTAAATTGTGAAACCACATACTGACCAGAATAGCCTGAGAAAGGAAGATTTGTCAGCTTCTTTAAACCTGTCACCTTTTCCCTAGTCAATTTATTGAACAATATCACTAATATCACATACAAGCAAGATCCTGAAGATTATCAGAAATGACTGGAACAGTACATTGACAGAGAACTGTCAGATATACAACCTGGTTTACAAGAGGCTCTGGCACTAGGGACATTACAAACAATGTTAGATGGATCTTAGCTGAAAGCATAGAGTACCAGAGGAATGTCTATCTGTGTTTCATTGACTATGCAAAAGCATTTGACTGTGTGGATCACAACAAACTGTGGCTTAAACTTGAGAGAATCCCAAGAATACTTGATTGTGCTCATGTGAAACTAACAGTTGGACCAGGAAGTAGTCTTTAGACAGAGCAAGAAAACCCTGCATGGTTCAAAATCAGGAAAGGTATATGCCAAGGATGCATCCTATCTCTACACTTTTTCAATCTGTATGTGGAACAGATCATTCAGGAGGCTGGACTTTATAACAAGGAATGAGGCATCAGGATTGGAGGAAGACTTATCAACAACCTGTGTTAAACAGATGACACAACTTTGCTTGCTAAAATAGAAGAGGATGTGAGGCCTTTGCTGCTGAAGGTCAAGGACTATAGTTTTCAATATGGAATGAAACTCAACATCAAGAAAACAAAGATTCTCACCACTGGGCCACTTGGCAACATCATTAAAAACAGAGAAGAGATTGAGATTGTTCATAATTTTAGCTTGGTTTGTTCCACAGTTAACACTCTTGGCACTAGCAGTCAGGAAGTCAAAAGATGAACTGCACTGGGGAAATCTGCGGTCAGGGACCTCTCTCAAGTACTGAAGAGCAATGATGTCAGTCTAGAAACTTGAGATGCACCTGATTCAAGCCATGGTTTTTGCAATTACTTGCTATGCATCAGAAGCTAGACAGTGACTAAGGATGACAGAAGAATTGATGCCTTTGAGTCGTAGTACTGGAGAAGAGTATTATACATACCATGGACTGTCAAAAGAACAAACAGGTGTGTCCTGGAGAGGATGAAACCAAGCAGGTCTTTGGAGGCTAGGATTTTGAAGTTCTGTCTCACATACTTTGGGCATGTTGCCAGGAGGGCCCAGTCCTTAGAGAAGGACACCATGCTTTGAGGGGCAGAGGGACAGCATAGGAGGGAAGACTCCAGATGAGATGGACTGATACAGTAACTAGGGTAATAGGGTAGGTGTGCTGGACTCGATGAAACTGGTTCAGGATAGGGCATGCTGCAGAGATGTTGTACATAAGGTCCCTATGAGATGCACATAACATTATCATCAACAACCACCACAGTCTTTCAACTAACCATTTCCTACTATCTACGTGAATTGTGAGGTTCAGTGAAAGAATTCAGCTCTATTAAAAAAAAGTGATCTGTGTGCTTATCTTTCTCAATGTTTTAACAGACAGTACAGAGGAGAAATGTTCCAGATCCACAGAAGAGAAGCCAATCCATTATAAACAATGAAAGCCTAACTCTCTAAGAAGGTGCTATTTAACAGCTTCCATATTAACAGCAACAAAATAAAGTAAAAACGAGATATTTATTTACATGAACAGGGAAGAAGCGATTACTTCAAATTGTGATACTAGAGAAGAGTACTGAAAACGCCATGGGCTGCCAAAAGAGCATGCAAATCTGCTTTGGAGGAAGTGCAACCAGGGTGTTCCTTAGATGTAAGAATGAAGAAACTGCCTCTCACCCCCTCAGAGCATGTTTCAAGAGAGACCAGTACTTGGAAAAAGATATTATGCTGGGAGAAGTGGAGGGTCAGAGAAAGAGAGAAAGACCCTCAACAAGATGGACTGGTACCGTGACTGTAACCATGAGCTCGAGAATGTCAGAGATTGTGAGGTTGGTACAAGACAGAGTATGGCTCTAATTCACTGATTGCTAGGAGTCATAGTGGACGACAACATATGAACAAT